TCAGATTGGGAAAATTGGGCGGCGGCGGCGGCGGTGGGGGGGGGGGGGTCTCCAGGCTCCTTTCTGCCTGTGCCATGCTACCGATCCAAATTGGGCCCACGTGTCCCAGGGAGACACAGAACTTCACAACATCTCTCCTTAGGGTTTCCAGCTCCAGGCTGGGAAATACCTGGAGATTTTGGGGGTGGGGCCTATGAAGGGAGGGGTACGGGGAGGGTGTAATGCCGTAGAGGCCACCTTCCAAAGTGGCCGTTTTCTCCCGGTGAGCTGATCTCTGTAATAGCGGGCGATTTCCAGCCACCACCTGGTGATTGGCAACCCTATTTCTCTCCACCCTGCTCCCTGGGGGAAACATAACAGGGGCTTGGGATTTGACTGAAGCCCACCCAAGTCCCAGGCCTCCCACATTCTGACCCCAACACCACATTGGCAATCATGTACTTGGAGGGAGGCAGGTGGTACGGAGGTTTTCATTCCACTGTAGGGCCTGGGGGGGGGCACTTTTTCCAAAGAAAAGCCCACTGCCTGCAAAGTCTCCTTGTCTTGTTAAACACAAAACTGGCACCAAATGGGGGGAAACAGCTGGACCCCCTGGTTTGTTTTGCTTTGGTTCCACTCCCTCCTCTCCCATTTATCAAGCTGTCGCGTAGGCTGCCTGCTTCTGTGTGTTGGCTAGAGACGCCTTGTTATTCATTGTTTATTTGCAAAGATTTCCAGCTACTCAACCAGCCCCCCCATCAGGCTTGCTTCTCTCTCTCTCTCTCTCTCTCTCTCTCTCTCTCTCTCTCCCCCCTCCGGTTTGGCTCTCTGGCGTTTCCATGGACCCAAATCCATAGCAGACTTAAATTGCTGCCTTTCTTTTTCCATCTCCTGCATTGCTATTGAAAGGGGTGGTGGATAAGGCTGCCAACCTCCAGGTGGTGGCTGGAGATCTCCTGGGATTAAAACTGATCTCCAGGCGATGGAGATCAGTTCACCTGGAGAAAATGGCCACTTTGGAAGGTGGGCTTTATGGCATTCTACCCCCATCTAAGTCCCTCCCCTCCCCAAGCCCCACCCTCCTCAGGCTCCGCCCCCAAAATCTCCAGGTGTTCCCCAAACGAGAGCTGGCCACCCTAGCTGGTGCACAGAATGATAATGCAGATCTCAAGAAGCCAAACTTCGCGGCAAGGAAGGCAAACTCTCGCTCTCCCTGTGCAGCCGAAATCTTTCCCATAGGCCCGGCTCTACCGTTGTCTCAGCTAGACAGATGTGCTATTAACTGGCAGTGCCTGCTGTGGGCCTCTCTTCTGAGGACCTTCCCCCCTTTTCCTGTGCCTCCGGCCCATTCCTCCATGTGAACTGACTGTCACTTTTGGCTCGTATTACATAAACAGCAGTCGAATGGGACCAGTGAAATAGGGCCAGTGTTCTGGTACTTTGAATGTTTAATTCACTCTGTCTTAGAATGAAGGGGGCAACCCCGTACATGACTGTGAAAGCAGCAAAACCAGGCTGCCTATTTGCTTGGGGGGAACTCCCAGAGGATGGAGAAAACTATGACTTCTGAAATTAACCTGAAGACAAACAGAAAGCATCCTGGTGAAGACTGGCCGTGCTCTGGGAAGTGTGAAACCAATTCAGTTGAGACGGAGTTAAAGGAAAGGCAGAAGGGGATAGGGAAACTGGCTTGCTGAAGCCTGCAATTGCTTACTGAGTCCTGGAAAGAGATCTTGGAGGGTCCAGGTGATCTGCAGATACAAACCAGGTTACCTGTCTTCTGCTAGCCGGAAAAGACTTTTCTGTTTTGTTTGGTGGTCCCTTCCCATTGGAGCTGCGGTGGCTCAAGTGGTTAAGACACTGAACTGCAGGCTGTGGAAGGTCAGTAGTTCAGGAGTTCGAGACCCGGGTGCCGCAAGACGGGGTGAGCTCCCGTCTCTAGTTTCAGCTCCTGCCAACCTAGCAGTTTGAAAGCAAGAAAATGCAAGTAGATAAATAGATACCACTTCGGTGGGAAGGGAACAGCGTTCTGTGTACTTTGGTGTTTAGTCATGCCGGCCACATGACCATGGAAATGTCTTCGGACAGCACTGGCTCTTCGGCTTTGAAACGGAGATGAGCACCGTCAACCCTAGAGTCGGATTCAACTGGCTTTCGAGCAAGGGAACCTTTACCTTTTACCCTTCCCATTTATGTGGTTGGTTGATTTGTTTTACATATATACATATATATTTATTATTCAAATTTGTTTTAATGTTTTTGATTGTTCGCTAGATCGGGGGTCCTACAAGAGGTGGAGAGATGGCAAACAAATGTTTTAAATAACATTTTTTAAACTTTTGCTTCACAGGTAACAAACCACACTTTTGACTGCAAATATGTACTTGGAGTGTATCCCATAATGCATCAGAACTGAGGCCTTCCCCTACATTCATCACTCCCCAAGTCAGGGATCGTTCAGTGTCTATTTTTATTATTCGCATTTGCATTTCAGTTATATACCGCCTTTCCAAATGTTCAGAGTGGTTTACAGTGATCCATGAAATATCCAATAATATATTTTATTTATTTTCAGCATAAATGTTCTTACAGCTTTGGATCAATGCCTCTTAATTTGTTTCCATTATCCATCACACTGCAGATTTAACCATTATGTCACGTTTTTATCCTATACTTCCTTTAAAAAGCTCAAAGCAGTAGATGTTTCCCCCCACCCATTTCTTCTCCCACAATAACCCTGCGAGGTAGGCTAGGCTGTGACAGAGTAACTGCCCAGAGGTCATCCAGTGAGCTTCACAGTGGGAATTTGAACTCAAGCCTTCTAGTCTAACATTCTTAACTGATGTATCGTGCTCAGTCTGAAAACCAAAATGTAAATGTTTCAAAAGTTAATCCAGAAATGAATGAGGAGATAGTATTTTCAAATATGTGAAAATGTGGTGTGATTTGTTTCATTTCAGCTGTCATTCAGAAGTAAATGCTATATCATTTTCAGTGTTGGAAGGTTAGCCTGCTAGATTGTCCGTGCTACTTTAACTACATTTTTCCTCTTCTTGGTCTCAGCTTGTGCTGTATCCTGCTCAGAATCATCCACTTGGACCCTGTTCAGATACCTCCGGCAGCCTTCTAGGATGCTTCAAGGCACATCCAGCCTCCTGCTGTTTCTTTGGGCCAAGGTAGCATCATCCACGTGGTACGAAGGTAGGCACTGATTATCCAATGCAGACTTTTAAAAGGAGCAGGGCTATTTTTGGGCAGGAACGCACAGGAACAGAGTTCCAGCTGGCTTCAGAGTTGGCTACACCCACTACAGCCAAAACCTCTGCATGGGTGGCTACAGAGGGAAGGCATGGAGAGCGACCCCCCCCCCAGCAACTCCAAGGCAGGTGGGCTAGGGGGGCCCTGGAAGGATCGGGGAGGCATTTCAATGCCTCCCCGTGCCTTCCCCAGCCTGTCTAAGGGCTGGCTTGCCCGGGTTCCCCACAACTGGGAGGGCAATGGGGTGTGGTCTAATGTGCTAATGAGCTGCACTGTAAGGGTTGTGACCTGATATGCTAACGAGTTTCTGCTGTTGGGTGTGGCCTATCATGCTAATGAGTTCCTGCTGGGCTTTTTCTACCAAAAAAAGCCCTCAAAAGGAGTGATCCTTTTTTTGCTGGCAAGATCCTCTTGCCTTTGACAGCAGAGCAGTGTTCCGTCTAAGCTGAGCTAATGTGAGCTAGCTCACAGTTTTTTAGCCTCTGGCTTACACCTTTTTGTCTTAGCTCAGGAAGGAGGGCTGCAGAGCAAACTAATTTATGCAGCAGCCAAATCGCTCGCTCACAACTTTAATGCCAGTAGCTCACACAGTAGAATTTTTGCTCACAGGACTCCACAGCTTAGAGGGAGCATTGCAGCCGGGTAACACTCAGAAATCCAGTAGGCGTAGCATCATTTGTACTGAGAAGAGCTCTCAACTTTAGAATTCCTGCTAAGAAACTGAGCAGGTAAAGCCGCCAGGAAAAAAAGAAATGGCTTTTTTCCTGCTTATTATGCAGCCAAGAAATTTAGCAAGCGGAGAACCTCTGGCTCAATGCCAGGAAAAACTTGGCTTTTGAATTTCAGCCCGTCAGGCAGCTGAAAAATTCAATGGGTACTCAGTGTGTGTGCATCCCTGCGATGGGGAAATAAGACTTAATCAAAAGTGGCTTACCATTGCTCTGACCTGGATAGCCCAGGCAAGCCCAATCTCATCAGATCTCAGAAGCTAAGCAGGGCTGAGCCTGGCAAGTACTTGAATGGGAGACCTCCAAGGAATACCAGGAGTTGGGAGGTGGGGGCAGGCCTTATTCAGCCACCTCTCTGAATATCCTCCTGGCCGCCAGTAAGGACAAGTCACCAGAGGTCGCCGTGACTTCCAGGTGCACACATAGTCCAGGTGCACCAGAGGTCACCATTACTTCCAGGTGTACACACACTCACATGCATATGTGAAAAATACCCCGCAAAAAGGTGATTTATTATTGCATCCTTCTTCTGTACAGTATAGGCTTACCAAGTGGCGGCGGGGGATCCGCATGTCTTCACAGGATCCCTGCCGCGGGGACGGCGATACACGTTGCACCGCCGTCGCCAGGATGTGACGCAACGCGTCGTTCTGGCAACGGGGCTGTTTGGAGTCCCGTTGCCAGAGCGACGCGTAGCATCACATCCTGGCGACGGCGGGTGCAACGTGTGTCGCCGTCCCCGAGGCAGGGATCCTGTGAAGACATGCGGATCCCCCGCCGCCACTTTGTAAGCCTAGTACAGTACTAGCCATGGTTAGCTGAATCAGCACTGCCATTGTCTATGAAACAGCATCTGCCAGTGTTACCTTCCACTATTGCTGGAAAATATCATCTTAATTCACCACAGGTATTAATAACCTCACTCGCAACTAGGGAGAGTTCAAAGAGCTCCATCACATCTCCCTGGAAAGCAAAACGCTCACATTCCTGTGACAGATGGATAATTGGTTGGCGGCCTGCACCACAATCACATTCGGGTCCTGGTATTTTGCCCCATTAAAACAACAGGTCTGCACAACTGCCCAAGCCTGTTTGTATTCTATTAGCTGTCTTCCATAGTTTACGTGGCAAGTCAAAGTTGGTGTTTATCAGGTTATGGATATCGGGTGGAACTGATTGCACCCATGTTCACCACCATTCATTCCCTAGATCGAAATTTTGTGATTGCAGGATTTGTGCAGATCTTATTGCTGGGTGTCGGGATCTTTGTCGGGATAGGCCCACATCAGCCGTGTCTTTGTGGATAGGCAACTCTCTGTTTTCAATTATCTTTCTATATTCACAAAGAAGAGCATATTGTTTTCGGAGACGCAAGGGAGCGATGTTTTATTTTGGGACCAAACTAGACGTTCAGAGCAAACCTAGGCAGGTCTACTCAAAAGTAAGTCCCACTTTATCCAATGGAGCTTACTGTCAGGAAAGCGTTCTCAGGATTGCAGCCTTTGTCTTCTTTTTTGGCAACTGTTCAAAGAAGCCGCATGCTTACTGGCCACGAGATACCAGTTTGGTTCTTTCTCAACAGCAGCCAACTTGGTCAAAGGAACCAGAGGAGATGAGTGACCAAAAGGGGAGAGTCAGCAGGCAATGAATCAACACTTAAGAACCTCTCCTGGTCTTGTAGTGGCGTCTGCCTTGCTGTGGGGGTGGGGAGGGAGGATGGGTGAGAATCTTTGGGGTTAGGACCATCTCTTGAGATGAGTGAATAACTCACCTCCCCCTCATGGCCGCAAAAGCTAAACTTTTCCACATGCCCTTGTTTGTGGCTGGCAGGGTGAGTACTTGGCAAGAGGCGGTTTGTCTGGACGGGTTACAGACAGTAAGCAGAGAACGCGCCTCTTTCCTTCCTCAGCTGAGACGGCGCGCTTCAGCTCCTTGGCTCGTGTGTCATATTAAAAACCCATCCGTGGCTGGCCACCAGTAGCAAGCGAAGCTATTTTGAGGAGAGGCAGTCATGGTTCTTCCTGTCATATTTTAAAGCTCTCTGTGATCTTGAAGCAGACTAGCACAGCTGGATGTATGTGAGGCTTAAAAAGAGCTTTCCCGTAGATAATTTTTTTCTTCTGGTAAGACTCCTACAGCTTTAATAGATGCATGACGGGAAGAATTTTTGGAACGAGACGTTTCTCCGTGACTCGCCAAGCCAAGAAAAGGCTCAAGCGTTTCTGCCCGTATCACACAGCTCAGGAGCTCCGCCAGAAAAAGCCGAGACGGCAACCTTGGCCTGTTTTCTGCTCCCAACCACGTTTCAGGATAGTGAAAACAGAGATAGCCGCTAACTGTGACTGACATTCTTAGAGGTGAGCACCGTGACACAATGAGGACCGTGCAAGCCAGCCACGGAAACTTCTAGAGTTCCCTAGTGAACGTGAGGCACTCTCTTCCTCTCCTCAGCTAATGGTTTTACCTGTTTCTCTTCACAATAAGGGGAAAGGGAATCATACCTCCTTCCTCTCTTGGGCACCACAAAGAGACAAACGTTTAGGAATGCCTCGAATGCATTTGAATGGGTTAGTGATTTTCACTAGTGTACTTCCTACTTCTTTGGAAACAGCATTCTTTTTACTCCATTTTCAGCCCATGTTCATTCCCAAGACTTCTTCAGCACATGCATTAAGGAGTGGTAGATAGGTCACCCAAAATGGCAGTGCTACTTGGCTTTGGGTGCGCATAGCTCAGAGCAGGGCTATTTTTGTAGAAAAAGCCCAGCAGGAACTCATTAGCATAATAGGCCACACCCAACAGCAGAAACTAATTAGCATATTGGGCCACACCCCAGACAGCACAGCTCATTGGCACATTAGGCCGCACCCCCATGTTACCAGAAGTGTGGTCATCCAGCCACACCAACCTTTCCCTTCTTATTCTGTTTACCTTGTTTGTTGTCAAAACCCAGGGCTTTTTTTTTTGTAGCAGGAACTCCTTTGCATGTTAGGCCACACACCCCTAATGTAGCCAATCCTAATGAGTTTCTGCTGTTGGGTGTGGCCTATTATGCTAATGAGTCCCTGCTGGGCGTGGCCAACTCGGGAGCCAGCCGGAACTCCATTCCTGTGCGTTCCTGCCCAAAAATAGCCCTGGCTCAGAGGTCCCCGACATGGAGCCCATGGGCACCACAGCCCCTTAGAAAGTGGGTGGGGCTAGGTTATATATAATATAACCTTGCTCCCTGGGATTTTGTGAATAGCTCCACCTACTTCAGCAGCCGTATTGTGACTGCACCCAGCACCCTGTGTCAGAATCACAGGGCCCACAGGCTCAAAAAGGTTGGGGACACGGGCATAGCTGAACAGAGCCAGAGAATGAGCTGAAAGTAGGGTTGCCAGGTCCCCTCGTTGCTCTGGCAGGGGGATTTGGGGGGTGTTCCAGGGGTGGGCAGGAGGGAGGGAGATGGGTGGTTGTGGGCCGCATGCTCGTCTCACAAAAAGACCCTTTAAAGGGTCTTTTTGTGAGCAGGGTGGGAGGGTCACTGTTTCTTTGCAAGCGAGCATGCGGCCCGCAACCACCCTCTCCCTTTCTGCTGTATTTAAAGGGCCCTCCAGTTGGTAGGTGGGCCATGTGGTCCCTGCAGAGCAGCTGAAGCCCTTTAAATCATGCAGGAGAGGAGGGAGAGGGGTGGTCGGGCGGGTGGTTCGCTGTGGGGGAGGGGCTTGGGGGCAGGAATTCCCCTGCCAGCCAGCTGGTCAGGGGTGGATTGAAGCCCTCAGAAGCAAGGGAAACCCCGCCCTTCCCAAGAACTGGGGGCTGGCAACCTGGCTGAAAGCACATGGCACTGCTGAAGCAGGTTTGTTCTTGTATGCTGCTTGGCTGGGGGACTGCCTCCCTGTGCTCTTTGGAGGAAGAGTAAAGCATAATAAATACTTGAGTATTCGACTGGCTTTCGAGCAAGGGAACCTTTACCTTTTTAGTCAGTAGATGCTGGGCTTGATTGAAACAGGCTTGATCTACCTCTGGGCATACAGCTACGAGCCACACATGAAAGAGACAATTTTGTAACCCACCCTGCCACACACACACACACACTTTTTTATTTTTGAAAAGCATATCCCCATTGTAGCATCATTACCAGAGGTCATTTCGGGGGGGATCGTGGGGGATCGCAGTTCCCCCGGGTGAGGTACGGGGGGCCGGGGCACATGACGAAGCCCCGCCCCCCGC